TAGACATTTTAGTGCATCTTGGTAGAATAAGTGAAAATAGACCAGTCCAAAATTTTTGTTTTCTAAATTTGAATGATAAAAAATATTTCATCTAGAGGATAGAAAAATATTTATTTACTATCATGAATGTAAAAAAATGAGTAAATTTTATTTTATAAAAATATTGAAGCTATAATATCTGAAACAGAATCCGATTATACTTACTATTTCACTTTTGATAGGGAGGATCAGTCTCAAACTTAGTACAATGGAAGAAGGTTGCGTACATGACGTAGATTGGGTCATGTTACTCAGTGGGTGTGTTGATTTAGGAGGCCAACGTGGTAGTATTTAGAATTTTAAAAAAAATATATTAAACCCATTCATTATTTTTATATTTTTGGTAAAAATTAATAATATTGACGCCATCTAGCGGATAGAATATTATCTTCTTTACTTCTATAAAAAATAAGGATAATGATTAAATTTAATTTTATAAGTATTGATGCTAAAATATCTAATAGAAAATTTTTTATACCTATCCAAACACTTATTTTATTTATAAAAATTAATAATTCTCAATTAATATTAAGAAAATGAAAGCTCAATTAGAATATGATCGTAAATATAATATATAAATAAAGGATTGTTTATAGCCGAGCTATATTTCTCAGCCGCGCGATATTTAGTAATAAATGATTTATTATGTCATTAGTCGAGAGACATTTTATTTATTATGTGGTTAGCCGAGCAACATTTTTCAGCCGAGCGATATTTAGTATTAAATGATTTATTGTGTGGTTAGCCGAGCGATAAATAGACCCACCGTTTATTTATACTTTAAATAAAAGATATATTTTAAATATGGTTTCTGAATTATGGAAATATTTTGAGAAATAAAAAAATTAAATGCATAATTCTTTTGCATATAAAATATTGATTTCTTAATTACATTTGGTTCAAAGAGGGGTGGTGAAAAATCAATATAAATATCGGATCGGTATCTGATCGGTTTTGAACCAATATCGGAAAATATCGAATCGGTGAAAAATATTTGGATCGGCACAGCCAGCCCTAGCTAAAATATATTAAAGATTGTAAAATGCCTATGACAATTGAAAGATTAATAGATATATATTTTACCGATAACATGACTTAGCTTGATATTAAAAATAAATAACATGCAAAATTAGTTCCATGAATCTACCCCTCAAATTCTTAGTTGGGCAAGTGGTGCTTCAAACACAAGCGAAAGGATCAATGGAGTACAGGCTTTGACTAGATCTGAAGCCTCAAAGGCAGCTTTTATTTGGTGCTATTGCCATCAATTAAGTTTAATCATTGTTCAATTATGCCAATCTAAAGAACTAAGAAATGTTTTAGGGATCTTAGACTAGATTTATGTGTATTTCAATGCTGCTAAAAGATATGTAGTGCTCAAAGAATGTCAGAATGATGTACTGACAAAATAGCAACGATTTGTAAACATCAATAAAAATCGTTAATATTATCTTATTTATTTAGATTTAAAATGTTTATTCTGTATTTAAAGAATCTGGCTAGTATCATATAAAGTTATTGTAACGTGATACCTTAAGGGCAGCTTTGGCAAATCTAAGGGATTCTGAATATCCTGCCACTTCTATCAAGGCTAGTGCTATGGCTTTTAGAATACAAAAAATTAAATTTTATCACTTTATTTGTTGTTTATAACAAGTTTGGCTTGTACCAAATTGTAAGCTATGTTAAATAGGGTTGGTAACAAGATTGGCTTGTAAATTGCAAACCAAGTCAAATAGGGTTTGCAATGAACTAAATTCAATAGGCAAAAGATTGCCTCATTAATTTGAGAAGAATAATTAAAATTCCTGTCTTGTATTATTTTTTAATCTTATTAGATAATGACACTGAATTTTTGAATGTTTTTTTGAAGACATTTTATGGAGGAGAGAAAACTTTGATTTTGAAAGTTCTAGGCTTCACACATTACAATCCAAAAAGGAAATATATATATACTTTCATTATTAAATATAATATTTTACTTATGCTTTAAAACCAATAAGTTTTATGCTGCAGTTGATTTGAGTCCAATTAAAGATTTAATGTTAATCAATGATATTTAAATCAAATAATTTTTTAACTAAAAGGAATGATGGAAAAGGCATTTGTTAACAATGCTATTGAGGATAGGTCTGCATTGGACGGGTTTTTTGTCCGTCCACCCAATCCCACTTATACTTTGAGTGGGCATGGTAGGATTTTCTAAAATATTTTCAAAATTAGGCTGCAAGTGGCGAGCGGGTCAAAAAAAATTTAAATTAATGGGCGAGCGTGGATGGGTGAATTTTTGATATTTTTCAGGAGAAATATGTAAACAGACTTCAATTTATTAAAAATTATAGTTTTATATAATAAATATATGTTTAAAAATACATTATAAAATAAATAAATAAATAGCCAAACCAGCCATCAAAATAATTTTATTAGGGGGATGGACGGGTTAAACAGATAGATAAAAAGGTGGGCAGGAGGGTAAATTTTTTTTAAAAAATATGAGTGGGCAGGCTAGTGTTGTTAATAGGCTCGTTTTTAGCCGATTTTTAAAAACGGTTAACTCAATATTTCATCTAGAATAATATTACGCAAGCCAGAAGATTTTGTTTGTAGAAAAAGGTTTGTACATCTATTAGCGACATCTCGAGGTAGGCACTTTTTTTCTGGCTAAAATATTTAGTTCACATTTTTAAAAATCGGTTCAAAACGAGCCGTTTAACAACACTAGGGCAGGCGGGCGAGTTGAATAAATTTCAAAATAACGAGTGGACAGGATTTTTGGCTAAAAACTTGCCCATTGCAGACCTCTAATTGAGGATATCTGTGATTTTTCCATTTGAATTCAAGTCAAATTTAAGAAATGCCTAAGTTTCGAAATATTTATACGAAGAATAAGAAGGAGAATGAAATCATTACATATTACTTGGAGGTTAAAGAATCCATAAACTAGTCATATTCCGAGAATTTTAAATTTATTTTATTAAAATATTTATATTAATACAATATTTAGCTTCTTCTTGTGATTATGACTTAGGGAGGAAGAGCTATTTGTTTATTTTACCTTATCATTTACTTTATAATTTTTCTTCTTTCCCTAATTTATCAATTTTATATAAATATTTATTAGCTAATCCTACTACCTAAAATTAAATAATTAACCCTTCAATACTCCGGTGAAAAAAAAATATGTAAGTGCTCTAGTAGGGTTTAATAAACCTTTAAATAAAACAAGATTTACACTAACACTTTCAAACATAAAAAAAAATATAGGACATTGAAGTTAATTTTGACATGTAAAACATTTCACATAGGGCTTATATGCTTCAAACATAATTTTTTTTCCCATCTTTAGAAAAATTTTAATTTTCTTACCCTTACTTCTAGGACACATATTATACCTTCCTTTTGAGTGGATAAAATTTCTATTTTGTTCTTTGCCTAATATATTACAACTAAATTCCTTCAAAAGTCAAGGCAATTTGAGAATTTTCGTTGTATATGGCTTAATAAGTTCCATTCATAATTTTTTATATGAAATTACTTCTTGTAGTTGATATTTTTGTGTTTGCTATATTATGTGAATTAATTGATATTATGTTTAGAAGTGTGTAAAAGATTGCTAGGCATCGATCTGACCTTAAAATGGAATAATTTTTTGTCATTCAATCAACCATATCTAACCTACCTTTAGTCATATTATATAATGTTATAATTTCAGGTATGCTTGAGCCATTTGTATCAACATTTTTACTATGGTGGAAAATTGATAGCATTATCCATTTCTTCTTTAGATAGGATAATAATATTATTTTTTCATAAATATGAAAAATGATATTAAATTTTAAATAATTTTAATATATTTACTTTTAGAATCTGCAAAAATTATAATAAATGGTAAAAATAATATGAAAAATAAAATAATTATAATTTTTCAAAAAAAATTTTTCAAAAAATCATGTATCTACTCTGTTGGGGTCTCATAAACCTCAAAAAGTCATAAAATACTTATATCTTAAAAACTACTCAACAAAAATAAATGAAATTTGAAATATAGATTCTAAGATATATTTGATGAAGCTACTGAAGATTCCCAGATCAATAATTAAGCGTTTTTATGTAATATCAACTCTAGACTGGGGTCTCATATACTCCACCAGAGTACTGAAGGGTTAAAATATGAATTTATTATTTTTTTAAAGTTGATGATATAAGTGATAATAGACTGTGTTATATAAATGTATTATTTGATAGACAATTTAATTCAAGTATGATAATATCAAACAACTAACTAAATCTAAGCAAAGAAAATAATAATAAAAGTTATATTTAATATTGAGCATCACATTTTTGCTATCTGTTTCTTTTTACAACCTTTTATATATGATATTTATTTAATGTTAATATAAAATAATAAAAACAATCATTTATCAACGTTTTCAAATTTAAGTTAATGGATCAAAGTATTAACAAAATAATAAAAGAAACTATTAAGTTAATAGATAATATTATAATGTAATAAATATAAATAACAAAAATCAATTGGCAAAGTAAAAGGTTACTTTACAGTAAAAATTAATTTAAAAACAATATATTTTTTATACATTTTTATTTATATTATATATTAAATAAAAATTATTGTAATTTGGCTGGGAGTTAAAAAATATGGAAGGGAATATTATTTTTTTTTTTTGGGGGGGGGGTCATTTCTATTGCTCAGAAAGTGTAGGGGCAACTGGAAACACTATGTATACATAAAGATGCAAATGGAACTGAACATTATAATCTTTACTGAAATAGGATATATATATATCAATATGCAAAAATTCTTTAGTTTTAAAGGGCCTGAATGAAATAGAACAAGAAAACCTTATTTCAAGTTCCAAGTTATAAATATTGACTTAAAACAATCTGAAGCTTAAATTCATAAATATATTCAAAAATTATATAAATTAATATATAATACTTACAATTACATCATGGTATGGTATCTTTTGAGAAATTGAAGTCAAATTTTGCTCCATAAGGTTAATGCAAGACATATTTTTGTAAGATTGTTGGTTTTTTGGTGCATCAAATGTAACTGATTGTGATGATTTATATAAATTTTGATCAGTGGCCCTAATTTGATTTGAATTATAAATGTATGAGCTACTGTGATTGATTTGATTTTTTACACCATAATTAACATTTTGCCAATTATTAAATGTGTTATTAATGGGAGAATAATTAAGTGAATTTAACTGTGCATCTGGCAACAGTATGATATTTCCATTTTGATCAATGATGTAATTATTATTAAATAAAGAGACACTATCTCCTCCTAACAAATAACAATTGTTATTAATATTTAAAGCTTGATTATTGTAAAATATAGGTGAATTGTACAATGGCTGGTTATTTAATAAATATGAATTGTTAATTTGGGATTGATTGTAGCTAAAGATGTTATTTGTGTTTAATAGAGTGATATTTTGTTGATTTTTAATATCATCTTCTGGCATTATAAGGCAAGATAAGGTATCGAATGGATGAGGCCCTACCTCTGAAATATCCATGTTTGGTTTTTTTGAAGACATCTCAATTTAAGTTATAAATGAATTCCATTGTTGAATCCATAAGTATCAATCTATAAATATACATTATATATATATAAGTTTAAGGAATCTATATTAGACCCAATTTAATTGTCTTATACCACCAATAAAAATCAAATTATTTCACAATTCAAGAAAAATTGATATATCCCCAGAATAAAGAAAAATCTCTGATTGGTTATTGACTTTTCTCATTGGTAAATTTATTTATTCATTTATGTTATTTTTTTTACTTTAAAGATTTTTGAACGCTATTTTTTCAATTTAAAACCCTGATCTTATCAGAAATTTATTCTTTCATGTTTAAAATATATATACCCTTTGAATTTTTGACAATTTTACCGTTAATTTTTAAGTCATTTATAATTTATGGACAGATGCCCTGTCAAGAGCAGATTATAGAAGGAGAATCTTCATTCTTATGATATTCTTGTTGTAGCAAATATCATTTTAAGCTAATAACCCTACCCCTATAAACCCTCTACCCCCATCTCCTTCAAACATGTATACAATATATCATTATATACAAAAAACTAGCAAAAGTTAATTATTTTTTAATAACCACTAATTTAAATTTTTTAGACAAAAAGTGAAAAATGAATAAATTTTTATAAAAATCTAATATAGCCAAAGCCCAATTACCTACAATAAGTGGACCGAAAAACCTCCAATACAATTTATAGGGAAAACCTAAGTTAATAGTGCCTCCTATTTTTAGCAAAATCTTACGTAATAGATGCACTTCGCTTGTTGGCGGATGAACATAATTTTACCCTTTATATAATAATGGGTGAATCAGATGTTTCCTTTTATTTTATGAGGTATGAATAAGAACAATTCAGGTTGGAGAGAAAGAATTGTTTGAGCAATATAAAAGTATTGAATATTTCATGAAATTAATATGGATTAAGATAAAATTGTGAATCCGAATTAAGTCAATGGAATTAATTATGGAGTGGTTGATAATAAACTTAATTTGGAAAATATAGTTTCTGATATTGAATGAATTATTATAATTGCTGACAAAGAAAAATTGGGTGATGAATGAATTTGCAAAAGAAAGAAAATCATAAAATCATTTATTTTTAGAATGAAGATGTTCATACTGATTATATTGAATGAAATTCAATGATATATTTGCCGGTCCGGGCCGATATATCATTGATGAAATTGCAGAAGAATGAAGTATACAATACAATTATTAAAAATGAGAAAATGATTTGTTTAAATTTGGGAATAATTCTATGTTTGAATATTTGTGATTATATGAAAAATATTGGGAAATGTGAATATTTGGAAATCTGTTGATAATAATTTAACAATCATTTGGATGTATATGAAAAATAAGGTATAATCTATTATTTATATAAATATGGTTATTGATAGAAATTGATTATTTTAGTGAAATGAACATTATTGGAACAAATAGTGACAATTATATAGAGATTGGTTTATGGATCTATGGCTAATTTGAACATTGGCAGAGTTGGGCACTACCGCAAATACATGTATCTAAGATACAAGATCCTTTTGACTTTTTTTGATATTTTTAATAAAATACTAGTAAATATCTGTATCTAAGATCCATTCTTCTAAAAAGAATCTTGTATCTTTTTTATTTTCTTGACAAAAGATACAGAAACAGATTCTTTTTAATATTCATGTTTAAAAAATTTACATATCGCAGAATATAACCTTAGTTTCTTCGTGGAATCTTATATTAATTTCTTTATTTTCTTTCCGCCATATTTTAAATATTTTGACAACCAAAATTAGCTGAAAAATTTTAAAAATGATGGTTTGGGAAAAAGTTTTGAGAAAATTTTTTCCTATAATGATAAATCTAATGAGGCCTTTTTGGCATCATTATCACATCTATATTTTTAGAACTTATGGCTTGAGTCAGATGATAAAAAAATAATTTCAGATATATTATTAAAAAAAGCCATAAATGTAGTACATATAGTATATAATCAAGCTCAAGCTATATCACCAATAAATTTAACAATTAAAAAAGAAGATTATGATTATTTTTCTTTTGGTAAAACAAATGTTACTGAGTTCAATAATACAAATAACATTAAGCTGGAGGTTTTAAACTATATTATAGACTGTTGAAATACATAAGAAATGCTTAATTAATATCCTTCCATTAAGAAATTTTTTTAATAATATAATAATGCTATACCTTTGTCAGCTTTAGTTCTAAGGTTATTCAGTACTGTGTTAAATTCGCTGAAAAGTCTTTAATTTATTTTAAATACTCTTTTGCAAATTAATATTTCAATTCCCATTAAAAACCTAGTTTCCTTGTCTATTACATGAATGAACTACAATTATTAAGAGGCCTGATTATTATAATTAACTCGTCATTAAATATTTTATTAATTATTGTAAATATTCATTCTTATTAATTGCGTATGTTAAGTTCTTCACAAATAAATAATAATTGTATTTTATAAACTATTCTAATTTAATTGGTAATGATAATTTTATAAAAGTATCTTATATTTAAGATACTCTCCTTTAACAAAAGATACAAGAATCTTTTATCTTGCATCTTTTTGATATTTTGAATAAGATGCTAGAATCTATATCTAAAATTCATTTTTTAAAAATAATTATATCTAGATTTATTTTCCTGAGGACCTGCTCAACTCTGGACATTGGGAAAAAGGTTACCGATAAAAGAACCTAGCTAATTTGGACATTAAGAAAATGGATACTGATAAAGATACCTGACAAGATTTAAGACGTTGGGCTCTCAAATCACGTGATCTATGTAAATACTAATGAGCCTTCCTTGAGCGAGGTGTAGTAGTAATTGGGTTAACGGATTAATGTGACTTCTACGATGTAAGAATATAGATTATCTCATAGGTCATTCAAAAATGATAGTGATCTCTTGGCAAGTTCTAAATCGTGCCGTTCAAGCACAATGTCGGCCAATAAATAATGGACTCGGTAGTGTTAGTCCGGTGAGAGATTAAGATAAAGCTTAATTGCCTCCATAACGATACTCCAGTGGCGTCACTAAGTGAGGGCGAGCAGGGTCTCGAGCCCCCTAAAAATTTTGAATAGCCCCCTGAAGCAAAAAAAAAAATTTTTAATAGCTCCTTAATATCCCCTTGAACTAAAAATAAATTTTTTGATTGCCCCCTGAGCGATTTTTTTATAATTCTATAAAGTAATATATAAATTTATTTAAAAATTAATAAGATTATAATTTTTATTAAATAAATACTATTTTAATTATTAAATTAGATATATACATATAAATTTTATTTTCACTATGTCAGCTTTTCAATCAAATTCTGTATTAAAAATAGAATATCAATATCACTAACTAAATATATATTTAGCATTAACAGTTGAAGCTTAATTGACTTTTATTATTTAAATTATTATATAACCCTAATTAAATAAATATAATCATTTATTAATTGAAAAAATTTTTATATTGTAATTAACCGTTCAAAATTACTAATCAACTATATTATTCATTTTAAATTTAATTACCATGCCTCTTCCTTCCTAAAAATATTTTCAAGATCCAAATAAGTATAAAAGATTTATTTATAGAAAGTAAGTAGTCATATCAGTGGCGTCGCTAGGAGGGGGCACGCAGGGGCTCGAGCCCACTGAAAAATTTGAATATCCCCCTGAAGCAAAAAAATTGTTTTTTAATTGCTCCTTAATATACCCTTGAACTAAAAATAAATTTTTTTAATTGCCCCCTGAACGATTTCTTTTATAATTCTATTGAGTAATATATAGATTTATTATTTGAAAATTAATAAAACTATCTAAATTTTTATTAAATGAATACTAATTTAATTATTAGATTATATTATATGTTCACTCTGTCAGCTTGCAATCAAATTCTCTGTTAAAAATATATCAATATCACTCATTAAATATTAATTTAGCATTAATAGTTAAAGCTTATTGACTTTTATTATTTAAATTATTATATAACCTTAATTAAATAAATATAATTATTTATTAATTGAAAATTAACAAATTAAATAAGCCGAGTTCAAAATCACTAATCAACTATATTTTGATTTTAAATTTAATTATCATGTCTCTTCCTAAAATTATTTTCAAGGTCCAAATACAAATGAGTATAAGATATTTATTTAAAGTAAGTAGATAAATAGTTTATAATCCTTTATAATATATAATTATTTATAAAATATAAAATGCCACTTTTAAAGACATATTTGACAGTTATATAATGTTAATAATTTTAAAATTTTAATAATAAATGTTTTTGATAATAAATATAAGTAACAATTTGCATTCAATTATTTAACGACATCTATTTATTAAAGACTAGTAGAAAGCCAGTTAAAAATGACGGGGAATGAGATTTTTATTCATTTTTTACGATAGATGTCATACCAGGTTCAAGGTCACGATATTAGGAAGCATCTAAGATCTTATAATTTTAAAAAAGTTTATCAAGCCCAGCTCAACCCTTGATAATTTGTAAAAGATATTCCCAAGTCAGGTACAAGCTAATATTAATTTTGAGGTTCCAAGCACAGTCCTACCCATTACAATTTTAAAATTTTTTCCCGCCTCGGAGATAGTTAAATTTTTAATATCATCACATGAACGGGAAATACCTGATTTACCAATTAATCTAATATGAAAAAGAAACATGTAAATTCCGTATTAAGGGAAACTGGGAAGGCCTGGGCCACCACTTATTAGAGAATCATGACAAATAAAATAAAAACTAACAGGAGAATTTTTTTAAAAAATAATGAGGATTATTTATTATGTATTTAATAAAATTAAGAGCAAATCCTTGTTGACATTTTAATTTTTGATGGAAAAAGCGATAAAATAAATCTGGGCGGTCATCTGGAGAGGAAATAATTAATATATCATTTTATATCATTTAGGGTTATAGATGAAAGTGATGACGGATTAACAAAGCAGTGTAAAAAACACATTAAGTCCTGATAAAGATGATATACCTATGCCTTGGGATACTGGTAAAAGAAGAACGCAAAACGATATTTCTGTCAATGTCAGCATTGGTATCCCTCTAAAATAGAATCATGAACGACAATGTTAACTCAACCATAAAACGGTCGTAAGTATTGTTATAAAGGCCACGACAGAACTACTGC